GAAAGGATAGAACGACAAAGAGAGAGAAACAGGCGGTGGCCATCTGCAAGATCACGGTCACCTCGAGGTAGAGACAAGGAAAGAGATCGTGACAAGGACCGGGATCGACAGCGGTGTTCTCGTCATGGCAGGTGTGTATTTTGTATTTCTTGCCGCCTTACATTAGTAAGCAGGCAGAAACCAGCAGATAGAATGTCTGGTGAGAAATAATTGTGGTGCATGTTTGTGTAAAGCACAGTTATGGAAGGAAGATTGTGTTTAAAGTAGTTACCAACTGGTGTGTAGTTACAGAATATTTTGTGTGTTGTGGGTGTGTTATTTGCACTTACTACTTTGTGTAACCATTCACACAACAGATAAAAAATATTTGTTTTTATATAGATCTCAGAATAAAGGAAGAAGTGGAGAGAAGGGTGATATTTTTAAGGACAGTCTTTCTGAAGGTTTGAAAGCTGAAAAGTCTTCATCCTCATCGTCAGAAGAAATTGAAGATATTAATATTGAGGAAGACGAGGATGAAGAACAAATTATTCAGAAGAGACGTAAGCAGCGAGAAGAACTTCTTAGGGTAAATTGTAATTCTTATATTAAGTTTTCCTATAGTTAGATTTTTTATGGAATAAATCCTTGCTTTTCCACACTGCTAGTAACATTTATAATGAATAAGTCATTGGTCAAACAGTTGAGTAGCTTAATTTATCAACGCTATTGGCTTATTCTATAAACAAATAATTTACTTTCATATATTAATTTACTCCATCATAAAAATCAGTTGAGCCAACAGGTTTGAAATTATGATTTGTTAATCCTCTTCCTAACCTCTTTATATCTAATTTAGATTTTCTGTTTCAATCTAAGAATTTAATTTTCGTAACTCATTCACTTGTGATTATATCCTGTTGGTCTTCAGCAGGCACAATAGTGCCAACTGGCATAGTCTCCATCTTGTGCATTATTACTATGTGTTCAACCCATGATGAATGAAAGACTGAAACTTTGTGGGGCTGTTTCCTCTCTAGCAGGTAATTTTGTTCAGTGGCAATTCCAACCTCAGGAACATGTAATTTTTACATTGTTAATAAAATAGAACCTCCACCAATGTGCTAAAAATCAAAACTCAATCATGAGTTTGAAATATGTACATTGGGAATGAAACCAAAATGAAAAGTAATGTAAATTTTCATGTAGTAACCGTGAAATTCCTAACCTGTATATTCAAGGTTAAAACAAAGAGTTGGTGGAAATATGTAGTCTTCTGCAAAAGTTGTTCAACCTCACTGATTCGTTATGATATAATTGTTATGAAATTGCAGTGCTGTCTTGGCTGCTCAGACACACTGGGATCATGAGTTTGAATCCCACTTGAGGCATGAATTTCCATGCTTTGTCATGTCTAGAGGGCTTGTAACTGGCAGATACTGACAGTAATGTCTAAAAGGAATTCATACTTTTAGAACTAATTCAGGTCAGAACAGGCCGCAAGGTCAAATACGTGGAAAGTTATAATAAGACTTGTTAAGTACTTCTGAAAATTTCTTTTTCTAACATAATTATTTTATGTACAAATATCACTACAGATTGCTTGAACCAGATTGCAAAGATGTCGTGTCATAATCAGAATGACAGCATGACCCATGACACATTATGCCGTGTCCTGGGGCAGTTTTCAAAGCAGAGAGTGGAAATACTCATTTTTTGAACTGGAGATGATTTATGCTTTGAAGATATTTTATTTTCAGATTTTACATACAGTTTGATGGAAAACATTGTTGAACATATTAACGGTAATAAGAGAGGTATGGAATATTAATTTTTTTCCAAGAGAAGCACAGTGCAGGAAAATGTACAGTATAAACATTTGACATTTGATCACTAAGCTTTTGTCTGTGGTTTCATCACAATTTGCTTTCTTGATAGTCATGAGGTTGATGTGTATCATTTGCTGATATATTGCCTGATGGGAACAGAACAGAGCCCTTTCCACGTTCAAAATGTTTTCTTCGTCACGTTCACTAATATTATGCGCATAAAAGAACGACTTCACTTTCGCCAATGCAGCGTGTGCTTCGGCAAAACTCGGCAAAGTTCGGGCTCGCATTCGTCGTCTTGATCTTCCTCACCGCTCCAACCCCCTTTGCGGACAATCACAGGAAGAATGGAAATACTATTACTGCGGAACTCAACGAAACGTAGCTGTAGAAGACACGATATGAACCAGAAGAATGAAAAAGTTTCGCTCGCCTTTCCTTTGTACTTATAATAAAAGCATTTGTGAAGAAATTCACACTGCACATGCCATCTGGCATCGCTGGAACGAAATATGAGTGCACCCTAATTAAAATCGTAAAATTTCTGACAATGGGCACCGCCATTCACTCCAACTATCACCCCTGCACCGCTGACCCTCATTCCAAAAGAATGTGCTGGTTGGGCGACATAACAGGTTACCGCTACTGTTTATTCCAAAAACATTGTGCGTCTTTCGGTATTAATTTATCTCTAAACCCAGCATTTTAAATTCTCAGAAACGATCATTGCGGGAAAATTGTGGGCCGGGACTAAGATTTTTGAACGATCGATGCGATAAAACGATAGTTCGAGGAACGATAGAAGCGGGAAAATGTAACATTATTTTATATGGGATGTATTCAGGACCGAACAAAACGGACGATGCATCCGGGAACGATGGATAGAGGTTTCACTGTATATTTATTAAAATCCTTTGGTGCACAGAATGTGCATTCTGGAAACGAATTAACATGAAAATTGTAGTTTTGTAGGTGTTTACCAATATATAGCACTGCCTTCTTCAGGGTATGTGTTGTTACAACACAGAAGACCACATTCTTCATCTTTTCTGCTATGAAAACCCCAAATTTCAGATTCAAGTGAACATTTTATGATAGATTTTAAATTTCAGGGCACTAGTCATGAATATTGTCCATAACCTTGTTTAAGTAAAATTAAATCACGGTTTGAACTCCATACCATGTTTTAGTCTGAGTAACTGACAGCATTGTTAAATAAACCACAAATAAATAAATAAACATACCCTAGCTAGTGCTGCTGCTATATGTCTTACCCCTCCCAAGCGCTACATTGCGTGTAGCGGGACAGCTTTACTTTTTTTACCATGTTGGTTTTGAATTTCAGAGACTGGGAGCCGGAAATGAAGACTCAAATATGTCAACTGTGAATCTGTCAGAACGAAGCAGTCCCTCAGAACGGCCTACTACGGTATCAGATGATAATAGTGTAAATGGTCAGTTGTTAGAGTATAATGAAACCAGTCAGCCTAAAGAAATGGATAAAGATGTTGCAGAGAAAGGAAAATCAAGATTCAGTTCTCATGAGACAGCTGATGATGGGAAAGAAAAGTCCAGTAAACAAGAAAAGCGAGAACGCAAGGATGGAAAGAAGAATGAATGGGATATGTTTGCAGAAGCTGACACTTTGGAAGAGTACAATGTACGGTTTTAGCTGTTTATCATCTCTTGAAAATGTATATTATGAAAATTATGGGATGAGAGAAAGTTTGAGTAAATATTTTATACTTTTTATTAATAGTCATTAATCACAGTATTCTAACAGCAGTTGATTGATGTGTGTGATTTTAGAGTCCAAGCACTGTGGACAAACTGCATGGTGGTCCTGAAAATCCGAATCTCACAGATAACTGGGATGATGCTGAAGGTTATTATCGTGTTCGTATTGGAGAAGTAATGGATGGACGTTACGTGGTGTATGGTTATACTGGCCAGGGAGTTTTCTCTAATGTGATTAGGGCCAGAGATGGAGCAAGGGGTAATCAGGATGTGGCAGTGAAGATTATTCGCAACAATGAAATCATGTGAGTTTTGCATGTTTCAGGTAACAGGTGTGTCAGTATGTTGCATTTAATCACCGAATTAGTATTCATTACATAATTAGAAAAGGAATTGTTTTATTGTCTTGTCATTGGTTTTTTCGGTTGTATTGCCTTGTAGGCTCGTAGATAGGTTCCAGCTTGTTAGTGGAATATACTGTCTCCATCTTCAGAGATGTAGATTGAAGCAGTATGTTTGTATGGAACATTGGTGTATACCTACAAGTCTACATGGTGACACAATCCAGGCCATGAGAACCTCAGATCTCATTTTATTATTTTTATAATTATTACATAGTTTGGTGTGTTTTGTTACATAACTTTTGGGTCATTTAATTGATGTTGTTACATACAGAGTGATCTTAAGTCTGTTACATTGAAGAATTTACTCTTCAAAATTGGTATTCATGTATTAAAGCATAGTTTATTTTGTGTCTTGGGTAATAAAGTGTAGACACCATTGAACATTTGTGAGGCAAATATCTCTGCTGCATTTTGTATTGGCCTGCATTTGTTTTTGTTGTACTTTTAGTCTTTATTGTGTAAGCTTACGAAGTATGAGAGCTGGTATATGTGTGTCATATTAATTTATCCTGTCAGTAAAATTAGTGAAATGTGTTGAATGGATTTTATTCTTAAATTAAAACAACAGAGGCACTGACATGTACATCATACAGAATTATAAACCTGGGTATTTTATATTTTCATTGCAGGGTACTGCAGTGGTACTGTTTCTGAGCTTCAGCTATGTGGAACATTCAGACGCGTACCATATATTCACATATACACATTTATGAATGTGTACTTGGACGCAGTTAATGCGCACTGAAGCACATTGGTCATTTGTGGTATATTTGAAGAAAATATGCACATCTTTGGTATTTGTGTAGTGCATTGTAATCTAGCCTGTAGGCTGTGTCATTCTTTACAGGCCTCTCAGTCACTGTCAGGGGAGAATTTGTCATTCTGTGGCTGGCTAGAGAGTGAAGAAAGTTTCAATACAACACTTAGCAACAGTGGGAATCTCGTAAGCTAAGATAAGTCAGATTGAAATTTTTGGAAATACAGGAAATTTATGTAGCTTCAAAATGTTTGTTTTATACATTGTGCATGATAATGTGCAGGCCAATGCAAAAAATCTACAGTTTATTCAGACATTTAGGTTTACATTCAGACTAATTTTTGGAATTATAAAAACTAAATTTGACGGTAAAGTATTTTCAGTTTTGGAATTGAAAACTCATTGAGAAATTTCTGGGATTCATGTTGGTCAAATACTTGATAGGAAAATACATTTGAAACAGTCCAAGTGCTTTGAGAAAATGTAATCACTTTCAAGGTTTATTTTATTAATATTTGTCATAGGATGTCTTCTGCCTGTTTTTCTAATTTATTGTCATTCAGCAGATCTCAGTAATCAACATATATCTGTCATTTTATCCCACCTATTCCAAAATGGTATGCATTGTATTAGGGCAGTATTTTTCTTCTCTTCCATTAAATGAAAATGATCGTAGAGAGAGAGGGCAAAATACAAATTTATTGTGCTAATCAAGCCAAAATTTTAGGCACAGTATATATTTTCTGTAATACAGACATTCAATGCTGTAATTATATCTTGTACACAGACCAAAAGAACTTGATTTTCTGTTATTGTACAATGTTGCTGACATCTTATTTGTACTTTTCACTTTTATTCACAAAATTTTGCATTTTATCACTTCTCAGATTTATTTCCTGTTGTTTAGCCAGTATATGTAACATGCAGGTGCCTTTGTTTGTTGGTTTGGTGTTACAGAATATCATTCAAACAACTATGGAATATTCTTGACAGAATGAGCGTGCGTGATTTGAATGCTGTGGTATTTACAGTATTTGAGGATCTTTATTTTACGCTGTATTGTTGATTTTTCAGTACCTGTCAAAATGAATGGGATAACTTTGGATTAAATATAAACTTCCAAATTGCCTTAATTAGTTTCATTTTGCAGATCTTTCACAGATGATACACATTTGTAGATTTGTAATGAAGTCAGTGAAGTCTTCTTTTGCAATCAGATAAGTGAGGATGGCTTTGTTATCCAGTAGATACTGTTTTGGAGACTGTTGCTGACTGTGATGATGGAAGCAGAGACGTCTCCAGAACGCTGGATAACAATTCTATTTTCACATGTCTGATTGCCTGAGAATACTTTATTGCATGGAGTGACCTTTCAGACTTAAGGAGATGTTTGGGAGGATAAAGTATTGCAGTTGTATAGTGTAAAGTACTTCACTAGTATCATTCAGTGGTAGCACTTGAATCTTCCCATGCAGTTATGGTTTATAAGTTATTAGGATTAACTGTGGCTTCCTCTTGTTTACAGGCACAAAACTGGATTGAAAGAGTTGGAGATTTTAAGACGTCTCAATGATGCTGATCCTGATGATAAATTTCATTGTCTGAGACTATTCCGACACTTTTTTCATAAGAACCACTTATGTATGGTTTTTGAGCCTCTGAGTATGAATCTACGTGAGGTAAGCATAGAATATAATTTTTAGTATCGTTTATTAAGAAAGGTAACATTGTTTATGTAGCATTGTTTTTAAGAATTATTGTGTAGAATGAAATATTAATAATAGCATATTGACGGGACTAACACTGCACATCATATTGAGTGGTAAGGTATCACGTTAGACTGAATTATTTGCTATATTGGAGTGTGGAACTGTTGTGGATAATTCAAAACAGCTGGTACTTCAGTATTTACTTTATGTCTACTGCTATCAAGCAGTTTGCTATGTGAAAATATTAAATAATAATAAAATAAATTAAAATATAAAAAATTTAAATTTAGAAATTCAGTGAACTTGGAACATTTGTTATTAGTGTTCATTGGTGTCACAAGAATTGTAACTAAAGGAAGAGGAGAGGGAAAAAAATGAAACAATATTAGGAAATAATTTGTTGGATAAAAGTGCTACAATCAAAAACCGGAAGCCTGAGGTGGGTTCAAGAGGAAAAGTACCAGGAAAAAACCTGTGAAAATAGAAAAAGAAGAACAAGAAGAATGACAGCAACATTAATAATAATAATACGAATAATAAATTTTATTAGGGGCATGTGTTTGATGTTTCTTGAAACGTTCAAAACCTACGATTGGTATGCTGGGTGTGATATGTAAATTCACTGTAGCCCTGTTAGCCATTTATTTTCAGATCTTGTCGGTGCTACCTTGCAGGTGCCAGGGACTAGTTCCCTGCTGAATTTGCTCTGACAACCTTCCAATTAATTGAATGTTGTCCCTCTTGGGAAAAAAATTACAGCATGAATGAAATACAAGGTGTGACTGGAAAGTTTCCAGACTGTGTCAATAGAGGGCGAACCGGATGTAGTACGAGCTTCTGCCGCTAGGGGGTGTGGCCTACATTCATAGTGAATCAGTGTGCCAGCCGGCATCATCGAATTAGCATTTGTTTCTTAGTTACGGGCGTTTTGGTAGTGCATTACACCGACCCTCCTGCGATTTCGGAATGGCG